GAAGTATCCGTTGAGGGATTGGCTGGAGGTGGCTAAGCATTCTGTTCCCATAATTTTGGACTCTGTATAATCTTTGTGGCGACGCTCTTGTTGCTCCAGTCCCTGTATAGATCCAATCACCCTCCCAACAGCGTCTTGTCTTTGTTCAATAACCCTTTCCGCGTACCTGTGGACCTAGCTTCCACAAGACCTTTCAGACCTACGACAAAGTCTGTCAAGAGCCGGAAGTCCCAGCTGCCAAGACACGAGTTCGATGGAAACGTGTAAGATGCAAGCTTTACCAAAGCGTGATGATCAACAATCAATGCGAAGACTTTGCGGAACTTTTGCCCTGGGGCGATTGCAGAACCAGAACGACCTCTGAACAAAGCCGGTGGTCCTACTGGTCAGCATGCTGACCCCATCCAAAAATGTACCTTACGAAACTGATCCCAATGGATGTGTGCGTGCCGTTACTGGATCGACTTCTTTTCGCCTACCTCAAGGGTCACTACCGATTCATGAGCGGGCGACGGATAGTCTACATTCTCTTTGAGGCGGCTCAAGAAGCATCCGCTTTGTATGATTCGGGACGTACCCGAGTACGCTCGTCGACGTCTGTAAGACAGATGACATTCCGCCCGAGACCCACAAGGACGAGTACCGCTACCGACCAATTCCCGCCGCGGTGAGTCCGCCCATCGGAGAGAATCGCCTAATGCATTTGTACGGTCGTCCCGAGGATGCAGAAGGTACTGAAACTTGCCCCGGCAAGGTGCCCCCAGAAGCTTCGAGGGGGGTTGGGAATGTGTCCGCAATGCGGCACGGTGCTGGGCTGGGGCATTCGTTTCGTGGAAGGCTGACGTTGGATAAAGTTATGGAGTTTGGGCTTCATTGGGCTTTTGACGAGTATGGCATTTGGCATTGGTTGGGCTTGTCTAAGAATCCATGTACAGGGAGGCTTTGGTATTGCGGTCCGTATGATGGCTGGGTTGACGTTGATGACTGGGATCGTCCAGACAGCCTTGGGACCCAAATGAACTGAGAACGATTGGATATCACGACGGGCGTTTTTACAGAAGGTTGCAAACTCCATTTGGTATACCCAAGGGCCTGACCCGATACCCTTACCACGTCTGCGGAAAGCTATTTAACTGCGCCCGTTGGAGAGACAGTCTCCGAATAACTATGCACGGACAGGTGATGCGGGACGCAAGCTTGGATTTAGTGAGGTAGATTAAAGGCGAGAGAGACGGACTCGACGAATTTTCTGTCTCTGAACGAGAGACTATCATGGTGATACGCTAGGGCTCAACGGTGCGATGAGAAACGCCAGGTGTTTTCACAGATACCCCGGCCTTGCTGTATTTTCAGACGAACGACGCTTTTTTGATCTTCTTCCTGCTCTGTCAACGGGCAGTCCTGCAAGGCTGCACCAGAAGCGGAGGATGTGGAGTGCCAGACCGTAGATCCCAAGGGAGGAGTGGTGGAAATTTTGGTGTTTTCTGTGACTTTCGTTTACACTCAGCGACGACGGAGCCGGAGCATGTTTTGCCGCTGTCTTGGGAATCTTTTGGTTTCATGCATCTCATGCCGCCATCTTTGCTGGGTACAGACCACTCGATCTCCTTGACTATGTTGAGAGCGTTTCCACAATGTGCTTCGTCGGTTTTTCTTTCAGCCTGATGCCGTCCAAGCAAGCAAGATGCAGTCATCCCACCATGGCTCTGCATGGGCAGACAGAAGAACATTCCAATAGATGCACAGACCATGTAGGCTTCGGTCGGGTCTTTTTAACCACTGAACTGTGGGTATCTTGAATATGAAAGGAAGGCAAAATTGCCAGGAGAGGGGATAGCGTTAAAATGACCCAACCCTACGCTCCGCGAAACTTTTGATGCTTCGCTATTCTTGAATGAATCACCTTGGATCTCATTATGGAGACCGAAGACAACGCTGGCTTGAATTGATGGTGACTGATCTATGATCCGATATTTAATATTTATATCGCTCGGCAGTGATCCCCTAGGCCGCAGCATCTTTAAACAAACTTCATATCGCTGTCACCTTCAATCAACTTATACTCATGTTCTTGAACACTGACCAATTCCACCGAACCGTGTTCCCTACATTTTAATTGCACCCGTATGCCACTCGCAGTTTTGTCATGAGGGGCAGCCACCCAGACTGATTCGCGTTCCTCGTGCGCCGCGACCACCTTGTTCGCGAGCTCCTTTCCACCCATCGAGCTGGCAACAATAACGCCTTTCAGATCATTGTAGTCGAAGAGGGGCAGGTTAGCCCAGCATCGAGTCCTAAACATCTCTTCAATGAGGATCAGGATCAAGAGCAAGTTGAAAGTGAACAGCGAATACACATAGCCTCGAGTGCCAACCAGGACCGCGCCAACGGTGAGAGTCCCGTTTGTTACTTGGGATGAATTCTCGTAATGAAGTACTAGCTGGGCGCTCGCGAAGGCCAACAGAGAGTCGTCGATGAGAGATTTGAGGCCTTGCTCGATACTATACACGGTAATGGAGACATTACTGGTGCTATCCGGGCTGGAGATATCGGAATCAAAATCAGTGATGTTCCAGTCCTGGTATTTCGTATTATTCTCGTAGTATAGGATCTCGTTCTGGATGAGTGAGAGAAACATTTCTCCGAGGCTGGACGTGTGTAATGAGGTGTCTAACACAGAGAGATCATTCAACTGTCGCAAAGCTCGGGTTGCGATATTGCCTAACCCGGGTTGCCCTTGTGTAGTGTAGTTGCCACACCCCGTAGTCGAGTTTCCGAGACTCGCGAGCGTATCCAGGAGTGTGTGGCATCTCCACGCGGTAAAAGTCGCATTATTCTGGGCTGTGGGATCCATGTCGGGAGCAAAACCTGCACGATCCACTGTGATGACTGATGAGGACAGGTTGACGCTAATGTCGAATAAAGTTGGAATGAACGCAACACTGCATTGAGTTTGATTAAGGGTCAGATAGGGTCCGCCCTGAGTGTTTCCTGTAGCAATTACCACAGTTCCTTTCCCAGTTGGGTTGAGATCGGGGTGGGCATTCATGGACACAACGTTAGAGTCATCAATCGCACTATACTGCAATTGCCAAAACAATGCTCCATCTATATAGGAATCAGGGTCAGCATTCCTATTCCAGGCAACAACGCGAGCCATAAGCCAGCTTCAAGGGGTATTAAGGGCTTATGCTCTCAACAACGTCTTCCAACTCCAAGAGCGGTTCCGCATAGCACGAAATTGCTTAGGAAATGTACATACCAGGAGTAGCACCTTTTGCCCAGTAGATATTCGGAATGTATTGTGGTTCATCTTGAACAGCGTCTGAAGGGGGCATTATGCCCCATTGAGAACTTGCGTTGACACTGCAAATGACGCTGGCATTGTAACCAATTTCCTGGTACTGGTACATCATAGGATGCCGATACCCTTTGCTGAATGATTGCGCCAGGCCTAGAGATGATCCTACGCCATATGAGCGTGTGCTGTACGTGTATCCAGTCTTGTCGCTCCGCGGACGCTTGCCATTGGCGTCTTTGTCGTATATGACGCCGGCGGCGGTGTTGATCATCGAGTTACCCCTGTCATAGGCAGGGGTATAGGAGAAAGTTCCCAGCGGAGAGCGAGTCACAGGGTGTGGAGCAATCGGTGTCCATGTTTGATTCCAGGCTCGCCCATCTGGATCAGGTGCATAGAAAGGCACCGAGATCTCCGCAGTAATATTGCGAGACTTGATGATTTCGGAGTCAGCGTTACTCTTTCAGGAGATGCCCGGAGTCGGGAGACATGTCTTAGGATCAGAGACCCCTTTAGACATGTCTGACAATTCATAAGACATCGGGATATGGGGAGAACTGCTTCAAAAGGTAAAACGTACGACTAAATTTGGCGTGAGAGCACCGGTCCACAGTGAACCTACTCCAAGCGTGAGGGCCCAAACAATGGCCAAGGGCGCTGAAAAGGTGAAGGGTAAATCCAGGTCTATGCTGATATTCGAAAGGGCTTTCCACCACTTCAGACGGTCGAGCGTCGGAGCCCATTGCGTCAAGAGAATTCTTGTTGAGAAATTGATTACCGAAGTCAATACGTAAAGGTGTGCAAAACTGAAGACGCTAGTCAACAAGCTCAGAACAGCTTGGGTAGAAGACCGATGTGTGGACACGAAGTCGTAAAAATCATTGTCGATAAATGGAGGTTGATCAATGCCATGTAGGATTGCGGCGGAAAGAACGGTTGTAATGATCAAGCCTGGGACAGGCAGTATCTTACCAAAGAAGGATTGCTTCCCAACCGCAATTCCCTGAGGCATGTTCCATCCAGTCTGTGCCTTGTGGTACTGCCATGTTTGTATATATTTCTGAAACCATGTCTTCGGTTCGTATCCTTTCCTGGGAGCATGTACGAGTACGGCTTCTCCATGGTCATCAGCCATTTGTAAAGGCTAATTGATCGCTTCCAGCTGCGTCGAAGCCGTTAGAGTAAAGGAAGCATAAGCGCTGAGAAAGCTCCATATATAAGTCATGGGTTTGAAGACAGAGTGGGATGGACGTGTATTTGCAAGATGTAAGAAGGACATGGTGGAGGAGGGCTGAGCGGCTGATCGGATCCAGTGCCAAACTGCGTCTTATCTCAATGCTTGCTCGCGCATGTGCCAGAAGCCTACAATTCTATTCGTTAGATACGACCTTTGGGGGGGTTTCAAATGTGTCGCTCGTTGTAGCCTTACTAAGCCATTGTGGGGGGGACTTGTGGGGGCTGTGTTTTGACAAAGACGGTCCACTACGCCGCCGCCCCGCCTTTCCTTCTCGTGCTCGAACTTTTTGATGATGGAAACATCTTGACAGGCGTCCTCTACGTACGAGTATCTTGGCTCTATCGTGGATCTCTCTCTCGTCTACCCCGTGATTATCTCTATCTGATATTCGTGAGCGCCATCATCCATGATCATTTGAAAGCCTCCGAAGAATCATCTTGGACATCTTCAATAGAGAACCTTGATCTACACAGCACTTTCCAGTACCTCCTTCTCGCTCTTACCCTTGACCTCCAGCTTGCCTCCAATTATGCCATTCACACCTCTCCCACCCGTCGGATCTTTCTTCCTCACCGCCTCATCAACCTCTACCGTTATGACGTTAGCTGTGCTCTTCACCATCACGTGTCCGACACACCTGCAATAGAAGGTCGCAATTCACCTTCATACTCCTCATCGTTGCCAATCCATCTTCCCATCTTTTCTCTGCTGAACTCCTCAAAGTCCCACTCTCCGTCTTCTAAACCTCTGGTATCTTCTGCCCATACATATGTCTCTGCCTCCATCTCTTCTCCCTCATTTCGTTTTCTATCTCTCAAGTGTAGTCGCAGCCGGATCCGTTCGTACTGGCTGCCTTCAAAGAGATCGAGGCGCCATTGGTCATCGCGGGTGAGACCTCTGACGTAGGTCCCTCTCACGCAGGCTCCAGGCTCGCTGGATGGAACGATGGCCGGGTAATCGCAATCGCGAACACGGCGGCGTGTGTATTGTGGAAGGGTAGCAGGCTCTATGACGAGGCGGTTTATCTGGGATGGAGTTGGATTGGTCGTACTGTAGACAACACGATAGAGGACTTGGGGTGCCATCTGTCAAGGCTGTGAGCTCCACTATGAGGTGAAAGTTCCAGGTAACCATACCAAGGTTCCTATGAATGCACAATTTTAGCATGCTTGCGGAAGACAGTCAGAGCTCCGAGTCTTACCGTAGAAGAAGGCGCTGCAATCAGCCATGGCGATTTTGGGTATCGTGATGTGGTAGGAAGGTTTCCAGCCGGTACATGTCTGCCACAGCTTTGCCTGCGATCTCCAGGATATAACTCTTTAAGTAGTCTTTGGAAACTCGGAGATAAACGACATGGTTTATCGAGTAATCTAGCCGCTATCTCCAGACGCGCGTTTATCTGCTAGGTACTACTGACTCTAAGGAGCTACTGAGGCTGCAGGTGGGAAGATGTTTTTGTCCTACACACCCTTCTACTTTTTTACTGAGTTGAAAGAATCTCTCCTTACACTACTCAATCGCTTGAATAGGACAGCAACGTAGCTAGACAGTCTGGTTTGAGCTACTTTGCGCTACGTCCTGAGGTGCAAGTCAAAGCTCTCAGCAGCAAGCCGGACTAGCACGAATAATACCATAGAACATGGTTTGATACTCGGTGACCGCCCCAGAGCTCACCATGATCCAATTTGAATCCCTGCCTCGCGAAATACGAGACCAAATCTACGGCCAGGTGCTCATCAGCCCAGTCCCAATAAAGTTCAGTAATGTCCTTGGTCCCATGGTTTACGATCCTGACCTCCTAGGTCCTATGGCCATGCTTTTCGCCTGGGCATCGAATCTCCAAATCGCCGACGATGCCTGTGAGATGTTTTACCAACACAATACCTTCCTAGTGCATTGCGAGGACCTACCCGCATTTTTAGGAGCAAAGATCCACAGAATGTTGTCAGTTGATGTCAGTCAGTCCATGCATCAGCAAGCGCCTACATGTATCCGGTTGTTCGACATCAAGGAGTGGGTAACAAGTATCGATGTGGTTATAGAGCAGGACAATACGAGATATTCCAGATATCTCGCATATGAGCTTGGGTATCTGTTAGATTGTCCTCGGCTACGGAAGCTGACCGTCAAAGCCGGACAGACTACCATGATGAGCTGGGAGGAGGAGTGGACAGGTGTGCTCAAGGAGCTTCAGTCAAAAATAGGCCGGGGACTTAAAGTGATCTAAGCAAAACCATGGTTGGACCTCTTTTATCCCAGACCAATCAAAGATTTGGAAGCTTCATTCGCTGAACCAGTTTGGGAAGAAACTGATGAGGGTGGTGATGGAGATGTCGATGACCCTGAAGAAGGAGTCGGAAAGGGAGGCGGAGAATGATGTAACAGCAAAATTTCAGGCCTCTGCTGCATTAATGGCGAGCGGAACCCATAGCTTTCTCACTGCGATGTTGGGAGAAAGCCCTCCTGGTGTTAAAGCGTATGTCTTTTACCCTGTGCCGTCTCACCTGCTACATAGTTTGCTCCAGTACAAAAGCAAACCGTATCGCGCCAGTGAATATTTCAGGACATCAACAACATGGCTTGATTTGACACAGTCCCACAGTGGAGGAATCATGCCTTGGCATGTTTGATTTGTTTGGGTATTTCCAAAATTTGGTGACACCTCCTTGTATGGGGACAGCTTCGCGGTTAAGGTATGATACCCCTCTATGCAGCCCAACGGACTAAGTTTTCGAATGTTTTGGTGCTCCCTCAAACATCATATCTACACAATTTAGGAACAGCAAGATATCAAGCTACGCCGACGAGGTCGGAAACCAGCGTTTTCGAAGCAACAGATATTCCCATAGCGCCTCTGACCACCGCTCCCCACCCCAAAACCAGAGTCGAATTTGCTTCTTTGCCCCGTGAGCTTCGAGACAAGGTTTACGAAGGAATGGTCACCGTGCACAAGATCATTGGCAAACAGTGTGATAGAGATGTTGGCTGCCCCGAAGAGTGGAAGACAATGAGGGCCATGTTTCGGGCTAGCCCTGTGTCAGAGAGTTTTGCGACAGAGGCCTGTGAGACCTTCTTCCGTATCAACACTTTCCAAATGGAGGGTAAGAGTCCTGGTTTCTTAACTCGCAAAACCTACTATGTCAGAGGGCATGGATAGTCAGACATGACGGCGTCCGTGCGTAGGATTCTGATTGAACACCCCATCCGGACCACTTGTCCCCACCCGAACCCTCTCTTCTGCGCACTTCAGACTCCAATTTTTCGACATCCTCTCGATTCCTCATGATCGCAGGCTAGCTGCCACCGACAAGACACTCTGCGCAATTACGCAAGCGTGTCGGGAGCTCATAGAGAAGATTGGTGAAGGGATGATATTTGAACCCAAGTACCCACATGACGAAGGAAAGATCAACTACTGGGCGCAGTACATGAAGGTCTGTCAGGAGCTCAGAGAGACCATGGCCAGATATTGAGAATCTGCAACATCTTTGCAACACCCATCGCTCCCAACCTTCGCTCCAAGGTTAGCCGGCCGCTCTTTTTCCGGCGACCCGAGCTTACTCGGTGTGCATAGCGATGCAGAATCTCGATAGCGTAAGAAAAATGCTAGTAACGATAAAAGATGCATCGGGGAAAGCGTCACACTCATCTCAACTCTGCTGACGGTGCTACTCAATCCTAGCATCTTTCTTGGCCACTTCATAGACAGTTGGATTTGTCTAGTGCCTTCTCATTAGATCTATGCATACACCCTTTGCTGTACCATTGTTTTTTGGTTTATCAAAGTCTGGTTCTGTCCTTGTCCAATATGTCGGACTCACAATGATCAACCCCCTATCTGCCACAATGTTAAGGAAATGCCATGGCGATAGAGTCACAGACGTATGAAGGGACCGTAAACGTGATTCTATTTCAAGGTTTGCCTTGCCTGTTGCGTAACATGTACCACATACCATAGATGCGGTGTCGAGTGTACGAACAGCTTAACCAAATCTGGAGGATACGCCTCTCGGGTTCAGATGTGTGATAAATCACAGCTAACGACAAGCGGTCTGAGAGGCTTTCGAGGCATTCTTCCGGATCAATAGAGTACCTTCAGAATGGTGGCCCAGAATGACCTTGGTTTCCTGAATCGCCCGGTTTACTATGTCAAGGTCAAGGGTTCCAAAAGGTAGGCACACTCTGGAGTTGTTCTTCGCCATTTGGCAGCAGATCTTCCTGCTTCTACTGCTAAGACCTCTTTCCATGATCCAGGTTTCTTGCCTTGAATAAGCAATGCTGACCCCGTTATGTGCATAGATGATGTTTCTCGTTAATAGGATGGAGATCAAAGTCGTCATTCATGAACAGACTGGGACGCGATACGGGCTCCCTGGTTGCTTTCGCGACCTTCTGGCGTGTCCTGTTCTACGCCACGTTACCGTCAAGGTTGGACTATTCAGGGCTGGACTCTATTACGATACCGATGCTGAATGGAGCTATATGTCGGAGGATAGAGTTCTTGATAAGACAAATTCAGATGGGCTCGACGAAATACTCACACTTACCTCGGGAATGTATCGGCAGCTCAAAGAGAAGATTGGGGAGGAGCTAAAGTTCGAGACCAACTACCTGCGCGTTGGAGAAAAAATCAAGGCTTGGGAAGAGCGCATAGGCAAAGCTGCAGTCGAGCAAACATGAGTCGTGGTGTTGGAAAGGGAAGATCTACCGGAATACGAGAGTCTTGTGAAAGGCTAGCAGCTACTGTTTGTCATGGCTAAGAGCAATCATGTCACCTAGATCGGTCAAGTCTCGATACCTGGTCTAGTCAAATGCAAGAATGACAGGAGTGACTTTCCAGAAAATTCGAGGTCCTTGATGTGGGGTCGCGTCTGGTAAATGTACCAAACATCAACTGCAGCACATGCGCCAGAGTCGACAAAGAAGTAGTCGCTTATGAGCAAAACTGTTCATGGCCCGGACATTGACTCGTCCACCTCACAAGCGCGCTATAGCTCACAAGGTCCACTGCCGACCAGGGAAGTATCCTGTGGAAGTCCGCAATACTCAGGACCGGAAAGTTGACATGCCCGGTTCGCCACCTCCGCAGTAGCCACTGCTGATGATGAGAATATACATATTAGACACTATGGTCGTGTAACCTACACCACATCTCTCAGCGTAGCACAGCAGTGGTGATGATAGAAAGCGTGTAGATTCAGTGGTGGGGCCATCAGCCATTATGTAGCTGATGGAGAACAAAGCACTGCTATCTATGGCTAGCTACATGAAAGGAACAATGATGGAATATGCATGGAAGGATGTAGAAGGGACGCATGCATAGAACATAGAAGGAACTAGACACGCTGACACTCCCCCTGTCTAGTGACATCCAAATACCTCTATTCCAACGCCAAAATCATGTATCATTCTAGTGCTCTGATCCAGGGTCCTCCGAATCGCTCTGATTGTTCGCTCTGGTTTTTTTTTTTTTTTTTTTTTTTTCTCAGCGAGGCACAACGGTGATGATGTAGAATGCATGTAGATTCAGTGGTGGGGTCATCAGCTATTATGTAGCTGATGGAGAATAAAGCACTGCTATCTATGGCTAACTACATGAAAGGAACAATAATGGAATATGCATGGAAGGATGTAGGAAGGACGCATGCATAGAAGTACGGCGGACAACGGCTGACACTACGACAAAACCAAAATTACAATTAAAAAAAAGTTGTAGAACTTCGTTTCGCGATTTCTACTAAGTATATTTCTTAATTTTCATATAAAGTATATATATTATTCCTTTAACTACTATAGAATTATTATAGAGAGTTATTATTAAGACTTTAGAAATATATTATATAGTCTCTAAATTTAATTAAACTAGTTTAAATAGTAATCTATAAAAATTATATAAAATTCTCTTCTAAATAAATTCTTCTTCTTTAATAATAATATTAATATTATATACGTATACTACTATAGTATCTTTTTTTTATACTACTTCGTATAAAATAGCTTCTAACTAACTTTATACGTTAATACTATTATTACTATTATTATTACTATTATTACTATTATTAATATAAATATAATACTATAATCTTTCTTAATATCTTAATATCTTTACTTTCTATAGTCTTTCTTAATCTCTCTACTTTATATAAAGTTACTTATATATAATAGCTAGCTAACTTCGTATCTTAATATTACTATTACTATTATTAATAATATAAGTAATATCTTAATATCTTCGCTTTTTATAATCTTTCTTAATCTCTCTACTTTATATAAAGTTACTTATATATAATAGCTAGCTAATATCATATAATAGAACTTTTATCTTATAAAATACCGCCGCTACTATCGCTATCTTTACCGCTATCTCGATTAACTAATATTCTTATCTTCTTATAAAGTAATAATAACTCGTATCCTTTATTTATAGCTCGATCGATTATATTATCTTAATCTTATTAAAATAGAATATTAATTTCGTTTAAGAGGTAATTTAGTCTTATTAAATTAAATAATATTAATCGAGATATATTAATATTATTCTAATTCAATCGCGCGAACTCGCTATTCTTATAACTTATTAATAGTATTTATAAACTTTATATTCTAATCTTTACCTCTTTTCTATATACTATTACTTAGCGAAATATTTTAAAAAAGCGTATATTAATTATAAATAGCGAGATTACGAAGCTTAATACTTCTTTATATTAAAAAGATTATTTAAAAATAATAAAGATAAAGACGAAGAGAAGTATAAGCGTTATTATTATTTATTTAAGAGGAATAATAGCTCTTTAAATTAAAAGTAAATTATTAATTCTTAACTAAGAGAGAGAAGATTATTAAGAAGAGTTAATAAACTTATTACTATCTAAATATATATTAAATTTCTTTTATATAATATTTACGAGTCTTTTTTTTATATAATTTACTTTAAAGTATAATTATATACTTAAATAATTAGTCTATATCTCTATATAATATTTAAGATTAATATCTTATTAAAGAAAAGCTAAGATAAATTACTCTTCTATACTATATAAAGTATCTCTCTTTATATAATATAGATAGAATAAAATTTAAATATATTATCTTTAGAAGAATATTTATATAAAGTTATTTAGATCTTTATAGCTAAGATTATTATAATTACTTAATTATTACTATTATAATTATCTATAATTACTTTATATAAAAAAAATTATTATAATTTTTTAGCTATAATAATAATTAGCTATTCTAAATAAACTATTTATAAAAGATATTAAGATCTAAATATACTAAAGTCTCTTATTAAAAGATACTCTAAATTAATCTATCTCTTTTATATAAAGATTTATTTATTAATAATTAATATCGTATAAGATATAGATAAATCGTATTTAACTTATTTCTATCGTTGTCGCTACTACTTCTACTTTTCTTCTATCTTCTTTATTTCTTTATTTTTATTATCTAGAAATCTCTCTAACTCTTTAATCTAATTTCTTATATAACTAGATAGAGATTCTTTATTAAAATAACTTAATAAATTATAAATTATAGATATAGACGTAATTAGTATTATTATTATTATTATTAGAGCTACTATAATAATAAAAAGAGTTAACTTTATATAAGCTACTATATCTACTATAGTAATAAAAGAAGTCGACTTTATATAAGTCGCTAGAAATATTATAGTAGTAAAAGAAAGTAACTTCGTTTAAGCTACTATAAATATTATAGTAGCGAAAGATTTAGATTTCGTATAAGTATAATTAGTTAAAGATTGATTAAGAATTATTATTATATTCTTTCTTTAATAATTAATTATATTCTTTAATAATTCGTTAGATAATATACTTATAAAAAGATTTTAATAAGATCTTTTATAAATTAATATTTAAGACTCTAATTTAATTATATAAGACTCTTATATAAGTTTAAAGATAGAAAGATCTTCTTATTTATATTAATTTCGAGAGAAGAAAGATTATAAGATACTTTAAAATTATATAAATTATTTCTTCTTCTTAATCTAAGACTCTTATTTAATCTAAGGCTTTTATTTAATAAAAGTATCTTTTTCGAATAACTCCTCTTCTTTAATAAGAGATTTATATAATTTCGTATAAGCTTATCGCTCTTAAGTGATTATAAAAATAATCTATTTTTTTTCTCTATAATATTTAATAAAGAAATCTTCTTTTAAAAGCTCTTTTATAATTTATATAAATAATATACTTTTAGAGAGCTTTATAAGATTATTAGTCTTAAATTATAATTATATTAGATATTATTTAAAATTTAAATAACTTTTATATAATTATAAAAAATTAATACGCTCTTAAATAATATCGTTATAGATAAAATTCTAATAACTCTAAATTAAATAATAAGAAATTTAAATTATAATAGAGTCTACTTAATAGTTAATAAATTATATAATATTAATTAAGAATAAATATCTATTTTCTTATTATTAATAACTTTTATAAAATCTAGAATCTTTATATTTCTAATAATTATAGACTATATAGTATATAGAATAATTATAATATTTATATAAGAGCGGTTATTTATTAGTAAGATTATTAATTTTTTATTAATCGAAGAATATCGCGTAATATTACTCTATTATACACTTTTAACTATTACGCTCTAATTATATAAAATAAATTAAGACTTTAATATCGAAGGTCTTTTATATAATTATTAAATTAATAAAGATAATTTATTATATACTAATTAAGCTAACTAAGTGAATTTATTATATACTAATTAGATTAATTATATAGATCTATTATATATTAATTAGATTAATTAAGTAAATCTAGTACTTCGTTAAATAATTTATTACTACGAAGATTATTCTACTAATTATATATAAATAAATTTAATAAAATAATTTAAAAAGTTATTAAGTTCGATTAGCTAAGAGAGATTAGTTAAATAATATTTAAATATATTAAAAATAGATTATATGAAATAAGGGTTTATAGTCTTATAATCTATATATTATAAGTATTTACTTAAATATTATATATTAATTAGTCTATATCTCGATATCTAAATATATATAATCTCTTTTAAATTAGAGAATATCGTATATAGAAGTTAAAAAAAAGAGAAATAAGATTATACGATAAGTAACTAGTAGATTATAAGAATATTTATAAAATATTATCGACTTCTTATAGCTAGTTCGCAAAATCTTTATTTATATTATCTTCTTAAAAGTTTAATTCTTATATATCTTCTAATAATTATAAATCTAATCTAGCTTATTATAATATATTCTTTAATTTTAAAACTAATTTAAGTCGAGGTTAATATTCTTTAATTTTATAATTATTTATTATTATATAAAGAGCTAAATAATAATCTAGCTATGGCGATTAACGCTTATATAAAAAAATAGCGAGCGATAAATACGAATTAAATTCTCGATAATAAAGAAAAGTATTATATTATTCGAGTATAAAGAATAAAAGATATTCTTTTAAATTTAATAAGCTTAATTAGTATTAAATTAATATATAGTATTCTTTATATAAAGAATAAATTTGAGTTAAAGTTATATATAGCGTTCTTAATATAATAAATCTTATCTTTATACGAAGTAAAGATTTATTATATTAAGAATATTATATTTATAGAAAGAAAAGATATATTAACTTATCTTAGTCTTCTACGTT